TAATATTGAAATGTTTGTAAAATTAAACTTTTTTACAGTTTTAAAACTCATTATATGTTATCTGAAAATTAAATTTCATGAGGCTATGTTTGTTTCATACTGTATGTATTCTATGTACAAAGTTTTGATGTATACTTTTTAATTTGTTAACCCATTTCAACTGATGAATATTCGTTTACCTGAGGTGTGTTTTTTACACAGAATATTTACACCCATTTAATAGCACAAAGCCTTAGGGTATTGCCCAGCTTACCTTAGTTTACATTGAATGAACACATTATGCACGTTATGTTCATCGTAGTGTCATTTTTGTAATGGGACAGACAAGATTAAATGTATTTAGTAGTACAAGGCTTTTTTAATAAACTGAGAGCAATATTGCAAAAGTTTCCTTAGTTTACTTCTCCTGTTTTGAGTCGAACCTGCTCAGCATGAATGAACACGATGTGTCACTACTTTTGTGCAGGGATAGACGACATGACATTCAATCATCGGAGAATGATTTTTTTTTATTATTGACTGACCTGCACTTAATTAATGATTAATTAAGTTAATTTAATTATTGACTGACTGACTGCACTGGAAAAGAAGCATCAACAACAGACAGCATTGCGACTCTGAGTCTTGTTACCAGCAAGTGATGTCACGTGAGAGTGCCCCATTACCCTTTTTATGATGATGTGCCCTTGATTACTCGCACACCCTTGATTACTCGTACACTTGAAGTCCACACTTGCGCTATGTCACAGAAGTATAGTCTCGGAGGCAGGGCTTAAGGCGCATTTGAAATTTACATTTTTATAATTTATCACCTGGTACTGACAGTGTTTGATTTATTTCCATTGGTTCAAGCAGACGTGTTTTCTATGAGCATCCCAAGGTATCCCAATTTTACCTCCTCCCCTCCCCAACTGTGAACGATCGTCTCGGCATGTAACTGTAAGGGCTTTCTTCATGTATCAAGAACACTAACCATGCCCTCCAAATTTAACGATTTCCAGTTTCAGGGCTACATTTTTACCACGGACATCACATCTTTGTACCCCGTCATTCCCCACAATGACGGTCTTACAGCCCTCAAGCACACGTTGGACAAACGCACAGTGCTTGAACCGCCCACCCACACTTTTGTACGCCTTGGGGAATTGGTCCTCACACTGAGTGCGTTCTCATTCAATAACCTTTTTTATCAGCAGGTGAGTGGAATTGCCATGGGCACCAGGATAGGACCCAGCAATGCCACTATATTTGTTGGCTGGGTAGAAGAATGGTTCTTCACTTCCTACACTGGCTTTGTCCCTGACAAGTGATACATCGATGACTGCATCAGTGCTGCCACATGCTCTAATGAGCAGTTAGAGCACTTCCTGCATTACTTCATCTACTTCTGCCTGTCCCTCAAATATACAGTTAACGTGTCTTCCACTACTCTTCCGTTTCTAGACATAAACCTATGCATTAGCTATCCACGACTCTCTACTTCAGTCTATTACAAATCCACAGATTTACACATCTATCCCCTTTTCACATTCCCTCAAGCTACAATGACTTTGCATTGATGACATGGATTTCCAGAAACATGAACTCAAAATGCACTATTTTTTCCATCAACAGAGGATACCTGTTATTGACAGGGCCCTCACCCAAGCCAAAAACAGCCCTCGGATCATCAACTCAATCAGGAACTCCCAGCCTCACAACCACATTCCTTTGGTGCTTCCCTACCACCCTAACACACTTTCTATCCCCAGGACCATTAACTACAACTTTTCCATCTTAAATCCATTGGTACCCTTTTTTCTGACCACCCCATCATCTCATATCGCTGACCACCTAATCTGCGTAACCTTCTTGTTCACAGCTCCCTTGACGCCCCTCAGCAATCATCCACACCAGGTACTTTCCCCTGCAACAGAGCTCGCTGCATCACCTGCAAGTACACATCTAACACCACACTCATTCAAGGCCCCTCAGGACAATTCTGGATCATTCAAATGACATCTTGTACTTCCAGCAACTGTATTTACTGCATCTCTTGCAAAACATGCACAGCTGTTTACTTTGGGGAAACAGGAAGGAGACTGGGAGACCACTTCAGGGAACATTAGGGCTGTGAGGTGAGGATCAAAGATTTCTCTGAGCCCATAGTTTCTCATTTCACCTCTAACAGCCATGATCTCTCCATCTCTCCACCCATCTGCATTCTCAAAGAAGGGTTTCTTAACTCCTATTATAGAAAGACATCTGAAACCAAAATTATCCTGAAACTTGGATCACACCTTCCCCCTTCATTCATCAACAGACTCGTTTCCTTCTAATCCTCTCTATTCATTTGCAGGTTTTGACTTCACCTCTCTCAACTTTGCACCACCAGAGTGCCCACTCTACCTCTCCCCTGCTCCCACCTCCTCTACACTCCCAGCTTTTGTTCTCCTATGCTACATCTGTTGCTGACATCCCTCTCTTTCTCACACCTGAAGAAGGCTTCACAGCTGAAACATTGTTTCTTTTCATCTCTTTTCTGCATGGAATAAACCTTTACTTCTTACTGCGTGGTCTATGATTCTATTAAGTTTATTCTGGTTACAAAATCATCTCTTAAACCCTGTACATTGAAATTATATAATAATTTCAAGTGTCAGCTATGGCATCATAAAGCACGTGACAATGATTTCAAGTCCTTTGAAGATACTGCAAATATCATGAATGTTATATAATGTGTTTTATGTGTTATGGAATAGCAGCAAGGGATACAGCAATGACAGAGTTACTTCAAACTGGAAAAAGAATGTTTTCCAAAAAGAGTGACAGTTTCAGATGATGTTGCTGAAAATGAAAACCTGCAGGCCTTTAAGGAGTGGATGTTTTAAGGATGAGTAACAATTGGCATGTTAACCTTTCTGCGACCTCTGTAGTGTATGTTACAAGCTTGCCCTGAGGAAACCATTGATTCCTAGAGGGTTTTTTCCACACCTAAAAATGTTTCATGTTTTTCTTCCTTTAAGCTGATTCTTTTCAGTCAATTACTGTTTCAGTCACCTGAATGAACCCTTCACTTTAGATGATGGAAATTACTGAAAAGGCTTTGATGTTTGTCTTTTATGTATGAAAAAAAATGTGCTGACATCAAAACTGTCTGTAAAGCTCTTGTTGTACAAGGTATAAAAATAGGTATTAAAAATACTTTCACAAAGTATTTTATAGGCAAGATGGGAGTCTGTTCACCATAGTCGACATGGAGCATCCTCTGAGGTATAGAGCAGCTGTTGATTAAAACTTACAAATGACCCATCTAGTCGATTAGACTTTTTCAGTACATAATTAATTTAAGCATCTTATCTGGCTGTTTCATGAAGAAAAATCCATCTTAACATCATAGCTAGGCAACTTGTTCCATGCTCCTACCACCCTTTACGTAAAGAAGTGCACTTCTCAGATTTAGATGCACTTTCACATTGCTTTTGATGGTGTCTTCTGGTTCACGTGCTGTTGTGGATTCTGAAGACAAGTGGTTCATTGTGTTAATACCTTTGAGGATGACTGATTGGAAACATGTCTCAGTCTAAAAATAAAGTTTAATTTTAGACTGTCCATTAGAATTTTAGGGTATTATGTATCATTTTTTCTGACCAGGCTCACGCGTTATAAGTAAGTTTGTGACCAAAACTGTATGAACCACTTCTTAATCAAACTATATGTATTATCTTTAAAGCCTGCTGCCTGCAATTTGAGAACTTTTTAGTATTATCAAAAGCCTTCTGAAAATTTTAATATACCATTTCGATTACTTGCTGCTGTTTATTCAGATAACCTTTAAAAGTTAAGCAAGACTTAACTTTTCTAAATCACTGATTATTCTTAAAAATCTTATCACATGGGTAGCCACATTAAAATAGACAAAGATGACACTTAACAGTTTCTAGTATACAGAAAATCCAACTTTGACTTTCCTCAGCCTGAGGTACAGTATGCTGCTTCTTTGGTAAATCCCTGTGAGATTCATTTACTAAATCAAGTCATCACCAAAAGTTTACCATCTTTATCTTTTGAGACAATTCTTCACTTTGTATGTTTTTGCATTTCCATTTCCATTTATTTCAGCTTCCATTGCAACATTCTGTTTTCTCTCTCAGCCCGTTTCACCATTTTCCTGAATTTGATCTCATTACAGGCTAATTCAGCTCTTTATTCATGAAGCAGAATATAAGTAACATACATTATAACTAATATGATCTGACCTATTTTCTATTAATTAGAAACAATAGAAGATACAACATACTTGTCCCACTCTATTCCCCTTCACCTCAGTCTTATTCTGTTCTAGAATGCTTTCCTGGAATTGGAAACATTTGGGATTCTACCTGTACAGTTTCAAATGAAACCAAAACTTTAAATTAAATTATGATGATAGTTTCCTTGGTTGTTCTCTCATCTCTATTTTTTTCACTCTGTGTTGTTTTTTAGAAAAGTCTAAATCAATGTACCCTCTAGTTAGTGTTCTTACAAACTGGGTAAGAAAGTACTAGACCCATTAAACAGCAGGTAAAGCGGAACACGAAGAATTACCCTGTCGACACTCATATTGACTGGCTCAGAACACACACTTGCATTCTTGTGTTAAAGGATACCAGTAGCCAGTAAAAAGACTTCAGAAGCTTAGGTAGCTTACTGTATGTAGCTTCCTTTGAAATTGAAGAGCAATGCTGAATGAGGATCAGAGATACTGCCTGTGGCAATCTTCCTACCATCATTGATGCCTCTTTCAGTAAAACAGCTGCATACTCAAATTATTTTGAGAAAGAATGAATGCCTCAAACAGGGGGTAATATTAAGTCATGTCAAAGAATGATCAATGCAATTCATGGTTGCTCAATGTAAGTTTTTACTTGGGTATACAAAACAAACCTGATATCTATCTTTCAGATACTGATGACACTTGTACGCTGGTATCATGACACCACAGGTTTTTAATGTATTCATTCACACAACAAACAAAAGGCTTCTTTAAATTTGTATTCTTTATTAAATATAGAAAACACCATTTCATTAATGGTTAAAAGCAATGGCAGAAATCTCTCAATTATTGGGGAGTGTGGGAGGGGGGTGGTGGCCAACCCCTGAGATACAAAATTACTTTTTTACCCCCTCCGTTACAAGACAAGTGCCCAGACCCTTTTAGCCCAAAAGTCCCCATTGTAGCTGACAGAACTTGAATATGACCCGCCCCCCAAATCAAACCACAAAGAATCAGCTTATTAAAACTGAAAACAATGTACAAAAATTGAATTGCTCACTCTTCTAAGGTATGTTACAGTTCATTTGCTGCCAAAATCTGAAAATGCAACATTAAAAGGTAAGTACATTGCAAAACAGTAACATTTGTTTTTCCATATTAATATGAAGAGCTTCTGCCAGTGAGGTTCTATGATTTGTTTGCTGCTTTTGTAAAAACTGAAGGTCAGCCTAGCAGCTTTGTAAAAATAGTCTAGTGACTGAATATCGTACTCTTCTCTGGAGGTTATTATCGGAACAAAAAACGCTACCGAGCAGTACAGATTGAATCCAAGTCGAAGTGCAAAACAGTTCTCCAGGCATTTGGGGACCTCAAGGTGCAGACAGTGGAGATTCCCTAGAAGGCGATCCAGTATTGTCCTCAGGTGGAAAGACTGTGAGAGTGCATGCTCGAATGCCTCCAAGAGACTCAGGGAGGTCGAAGACTTTCTGCCACTCGTCCTTCTCTGGATCGTACTTTTGAACAATTTCCACCATGCAGCGGTTGTTCCACGAGTAGCCGCCCACCACGTAGATTTTGTTCTCAAACACCGCCACGCCCACATCACTCTGCCCGCGCAGCATGGCCGCGATAGGAGTCCACTGGTCGAGGGCCGGGGAGTAATACTCACAGCTCAGGACGTCGTCGTAGTCGCTGGTTCCTCGGAAGTGGTTTCCGCCAATGACGTAGAGCCTGTCGCCAACAGTACACATACAGTGAAGTCCTCTCACTGTGGTCATGGGAGCCTTCTGTGTCCATTTGTCTGTGTCGGGGTCGAAGCACATGAGCTCTTTTTGGAAAGTGTCATGAGTGATTCCTCCTGTAGGGAAGATGCAACGAATTATCAAGAGTGCCTTGCATATAAAATACTTTTTTTTTTAAAGGAAAGACTGTTTAGATTGAAAGTCACTACTGGATATACATTCAATCTTTTATAACATGCATTCGAGTGATATACACATTGTACAGACGTGTAAATATTAAAACACACAAGACACTGGATGGCTCAATACTCAAACCAAAAGGGGAACCATTTCATTGTTTTAAAATACATTGGCTGTATATAATGTCAGTTGCGTTCACAACCACAACCGAGAACACAAATACAACACTGAGGAGTAGTTTTTTTAAAAAAATAATCACTTTAAACTGACTGACAGAGGAGCACTGTTCACATGATTACATTTTTTGTAACTATGTAAAGTAAAACCATACTACTGTATGAGTGTGTGCTGAGTTTATACGCATTTGTAAAAATACACATATTGTGCTGCAATTCCAGGTTCCACTTCCTGCTGTATTATATGAAAAAGAAACAACTAACAAGCTTACTGATGAATTTCATTATTAAGGAAGATAACATTATTCTTTAGACTTGGGGACTTGATTCAAAGCTTTAAGAAAACACTTAATTGCATAGATCTCTAACATTTAATGTTAGTGGATTTCAGACTAACATGCCATGTAAAAATACTATTAGAACACTTTAACTACCTCACAAAAAGTCTAGTTAATGGCAATTTTTAAGTGAAGTACATACTGTACAAAATAACTGACAATCAAAATTTGTATATTGATGTGAAGAACCTCATGCCTGAAGATAACTCAATAGCTAAAACACTATTTTTCCTTTCAGCGTTACAGCAGGAATTAACCTCTACTTGTTCCTTCGTAGCTTGCGTGCTGACACAGCTCTATATTCAATCCCTTCTTGATTAAAGTGTTATACACATTACAACAACCTCCTTGGGTGCATAGGTATAGTATTCGCAATGAATAACTGAATTATACTGTGCCTTCTTTTTCAGTGCAACCCAGTCATACACAAAGTGTTTATTTTAAAAGCTGACATTTAGACGAATCCACAAACCTAAGAAAGAAAAAAAGACCACAAGCAAGCAAATAAATCTAAGGTATACTGAGATGAAAGGAGGAAAAGGAAATGGTGAAAGTGAAACAAGGACAAGTCAGGGGGGAATTCTGAAAATAAATATGAATACGTTCCCCAGTGTCTCAGAACCCCCTGCCCAGCTGATCAGTGTTCCCGGGTGCGTGCGAGTCGCAGTGAGGACCTGTCATGCATGTGTAATGTCTCTGGAATTCCTAGCTGCTGTTCACAAGCTCATTAATTATCCAGAAATAAAACACTCCTTTTTGAATTGGCGTCTGATAGATTTGCTTTGTTGGGGCTATGTAGGATCACTTGACAGATCTATGTATCAAACAGTAACAAAGCCAACCGCACCCATTCTAGATTCAGAATGAATTTTTAAAAAGTAGCTCTTAGTGAATGAATATAATGAATAAAAACCGTGAAACATCCAGAATTGTGAAAAATGGCTTTTATATTCCTTACAGAAACTGAAAACATGCAATACCGTTCAAAACTGTTAGAGCAAGCTCTTGCTTCACAGTTCTGATATTGTCATGCACATGGAGCCTTAAATTCTAGGAAAGGCAAACTGTCTAACTAATTTTACAACTCACATTAAAACAGAAAAGAGCATGAGCAAAAACACATAATGTACAAGAATCTGTAAAACTTGATATACACTGCACTAAACAATTTCTGCGTATTAAATACACATCAAAGGTCAATAAATGGCCAATTTAAAGATCCAATTATTTGCATAGATCTGCATTTTAGCTTGGTTCACTCAAAAGCTACTACATTGGTAATCTATTATTGATATATTTCCATCCACTGATACACATTTCACTTTGCCTGGGGCTTTAAAAAACCCGCAAAATAGTACTACCAATGGGCGGTTACAAAACTGGTGAAATCAGAATTTGACCTAGCGGTTTAGTCAATAAGTGAAATTATTATTCATTGGAATCTGTTGATGGGGAGGGGGAAGTCTGGGCTGATCTACTCGGCTTGCTGCAACCACGACCTTCGCCAGTAAAACGAAGTGAAAATGGATGGATGAACTCCCAAATTGTAAGCAATTTTTCTAGAATACACCCGAGTGGCTGATATAATTAGAGGCACGTGAATACTTTGTTCTCTAGCACAGTTTTGAGAAGAATAAGAATCCAGGTACATTTGGTTAAACAAATATTTATTTAACGTTCAAAAAACAAGTTCCTCTTAGTACAGTATTTACAAACAAGGTGTTTCAGAGGCATAACTTTCTGGTTACCCAAAAAACCCCAGACTGCTGCTAAGCATTAAACTCTTAATATGCCTACAGAGGTCACATAAGAGATACAGTAAGCTGCCTTCTAGCTAAATACAATGCAACCTACAGTTAAATCTCTCTCTCTGCACTTCGGATACCACAAAATAAATGGAAGCCTATATCCCTATCCATTAAAATGCACCCTCAGCAGGAAAGACGTTTCTAACTGAGGTATTTTTTACCCAGGAAACCCAAGTTCCCTTTGCCAGCAGCCATATCACCCTGCAACTCACAACTGGCAATCCACTGAAGTAAAGCAGGTGTGAGCCTGGTCAGTACCTGGATGGGAGACCTCCTGGGAAAAACTAAGGTTGTTTCTGGAAGAGGTGTTAGGGCAGCCAGCAGGGGGCGCTCACCCTGTGGCCCAGGTGGGTCCTAATGCCCCAGTATAGTGATGGGGACACTATACTGTAAACAGGTGTCGTCCTTCAGATGAGATGTAAAACCGAGGTCCTGACTCTCTGTGGTCATTAAAAATCCCAGGGCATTTCTCGTAAAGAGTAGGGGTGTAACCCCGGCGTCCTGGCCAAATTTCCCATTGGCCCTTACCAATCATGGTCTCTTAATAATCCCCATCTATGAATTGGCTTCATTACTCTGCTCTCCTCCCAACTGATAGCTGATGTGTGGTGAGCATTCTGGCGCACTATGGCTGCCGTCGCATCACCCAGGTGGATGCTGCACATTGGTGGTGGTGGAGGGGAGTTCCAAATACCTGTAAAGCGCTTATATAGAAAAGCGCTATATAAGGGTAAGCAATTATTAATATTATAAATGCACAGAACAGCAAGCTCTCTCTAACAAAGTTCAAATACTTAGCTCCAGTCAGGTGTGATTTGGATGATCATGGAGTAGGGGCTCTTGCCTGGTACAAGTTTCAAGTTCCAATTCCTCTGGACTCTCGTCTCTCCTCATCTTCTTCCCTGCTTTTGGTCTCTTCCTTCTCCCCTCTCTGTACTCTTAATGTGATCTTTATATTGTGTCTGTACTGCTCCTCAATAATCATTAACCCACAAGTTACCTAGGTATACTTATGTAAACTTTACAATTGCTTCTGCTCAAGGGAACCCCCAGACCTCAACAAACATCCTCTCTGCTTTGAAACTAGAAGTGTTTTCTCTGCCAAGCTTCAAACTTTTAATCTAAAATCTAAGAGACACTTCTTAGTCACCTTAAACTGTAACAATAGTTTATCAACACTACTAAGTTTATCTAAGTTAATGTTTCTAAATCTGGGTTAATCTATCACAGCTCATTGTACTTATATTGCAAAAGTGATATTGTGGCTTAACAAACAAACTACTGACCTGTGAGTGAAAGAAAGTCAATTTGTTTGTTTAATATGAATAACATTTAGATTTGCACTGGCATCTTTTATGTGACAATGAACACTTAATGAAAAGCAGAATTATCTAGAACACCTAAACAACAATACAGGGCCAGAAGGGTACAGTGATCCCCAACTGTCAAACATACATCCTAGCAAATTCTGAGAATTTCATACGTGCTTAATACTCTTCATTTAAGAACGCATCATCCTGCACTGCACTTGACATCAGACAAGATGAGGTATAATAAAAAATGGTAAGCTGAGCTTTTACAAGTCAGAAACAAGATGTTTTCAATGTGTGAAGGAAAACAGTTCTAGGCTCTTCTCAGAGATCATAGCTATATTACCATGTGTCATCAATGAAATAATTTAACCACACTTCCAAGAGGCTTCAGTCATTGATGAAATGCGTAAAGTTGACTATGGCCAAACACAATATTGTATATAGTTCTTGAGGCAAAAGTACTGGGTAACCATAACAGGGGTTTGCTTGTATTCTCTCATGGTCAGAACTCCTACACTGCAGGATTAGACAATGGTGTACTGTTAATGTAGTATCACCACACACACTATTCCAACTATACCATCCCCTGATCTAGTGTAGACTAGATGACTAGTCAGGCAAAGTATGCTAAACATTCAACAAGTAAAGAGCCAGTAAACCTGTGTTTTAAGACTTTAATCAGTGAGGATATGAAGACAGGCTTCTTGAATGTGTCACAGATGGTCTAACCACCATACTGTTTTTCAGATCATTAAGAAGTAAACCCTGTCTTTGTTTATAAGCAGGATGTTTTCTATGTGCACCTAGGTATAACCCACTGGCCTTTCAAGCTACACTAGACACTTTGAATTGTTCTTCTCATGGCAATTAAACTGCAGACGAGGACAAAACAAGCTCATCTATTCTGCCAGCAAAATGCTTATTTGAAAAAAGTGTTCTGCAGAAAAGTGATTGTTAATTCTTTTTTGTTTGTGAATATACAGCTGCTAGCTGACTGAATTTGCACAGCTAACTTAATAGAACAAAAGGTGATTTTTAACTTTTATACCTTAAGTTAACCAAACATACCTATCAAGACTGACACATTTTAGAACTGTGTAATAGGCAATTTTTAATATATGATGAAAGGTAAAGAGCAATTAACTTGTGACTTCTTTCAGTCATTTGCTTTAGTTCTACTACAGTATATAATATATTCAAAGCTCTTTAAAGCAAATGAGAACTGAAAATGTCCCCAAGTCAACAGCACAGTTTTCTTATTAAAAAACAGAAGTAGAAATAATAATATTCATAGACAGATGCTCCCAAAATGCACGTTTGCAAACCACATGTAAAGAGGACACCACCATTTATGAGCTGTTATTTGAGGTTTGAGGTTTGAATAAAAAGAAAGCCACTCAGCAACTCTTGGTCATTTCATTGTTAGCATCTCATTGATCCAAAAATCTAATTAAAATAGAGCTGCAATGATCATTTGTATATTCAAATATTCTGATAAAAAATTGATTTGTTTTTAGCCTTCAGTGATTTGCAAAACTTTAAAAATAATTGATGGGAGAGCAGGTCTTAAAAAGGTCTTAAAAGTCAATTAACCACAGAAACAGTGCCCAAAATCAGTTTTTCCCAAAACGATCAATGGCAATGCACGCTGCACTGTCTGCAAATTTGATCTTGCCACATAAGTGCAATATGTATGCTGGAGTGTTTTTGAAAGAAAGCCATCATAGTCTTTTGGGCCCAGAAGCAGCAATCTTGTCTCTTTTAATATAGCACTTTTAGACACTTTTTGCTGACATGCATCATATTCTTGATTTTTGAATGTGGTTATTTTCTCAGAATGCAATTTTCAATTAAAATGGCCTTAAAAAGACAATATTTCTTTATAATGTCCCTTTATCTATTAAGGGTTACAAGCATATTGGATTGTAACCCTGCAGATTTGCTGTTACTACACAGTATTTTTTGCCTCACTGTTTAAATCATTACACCAGGCTTAGGTCCATTATGTATAAGTCAGTTGCATAATTAATTACAAGATGTGCTGTATAAAGGCATAAATAAGGAATTAAAAACTATAATACTAGTAATCCTGGCACTGTGAATATAATCTGAATATACTGATGACATCTGAAGTGTTTACAGTCCTGCTCATTTGCCAGTAATTAGCAGCAGGCGGACTTATCTTAAATGGAGCAGGATGCTCCATGCACACATCCTATAAGGATTTAGATATCTGTGGTACTGACAGGCTCTTGACTGCTCAATCCAATACTCAACCAGCAGGCTCACAGATTTAGAAAGGTCACCAGCTGACAAAAGAACAGTTCAAATATGTTAACTTACAATTTAGGTGATTACCAATTGCACTTTTCTCACACAAACATTGCATAGAATCAAGCCATATTTCTTAAGAAGGCAAGTGGGTTTCTGCTTTGTTTTTTGGTACTTTAGATCATATCAGTGTTCAGTCTGGATAGAAGAATATTTCAGAATAATCAAAACAGTACAAAACACAGGTTGGAAAGCTCAGGTTTACATATTTTAAATTTAAAATGTTGTTAAAAATCACCAAGAGCCTCCTTCAGCTTTGCATCTAGATGTCTTGTACTCCATGCTGAACCACAGACTAATCAGGGCCATCTCTGGGTTTGTCTCAGTGGACATTGACTCAATTTCTGTCATTGGCACAGATGAGGAAATTGAAACCTAAAACATTGCCTATTGAGCTGCTCTCAACCACAACTTTACAACTCAAGGTCAGGATGTCCAGGAGGCTAACCACCATTACACAAGATAATTGTTTGTGCAGTGCACTCCTGCTAAATTTAGTAATGTTTCTGATCTTTTATGGTATTCTAGCAATGAAAATATGTGGCTTTGGGACAGAACAGTTAAGAACACAGAGCTTACTGGGGAATTAGAATATTCCTTTTGTATGTTTTTGTAAATCAATACAGCCTACACTCTCCTGAGGACTGCAGTACAGCAGCTTCATCACCTTATATCCTGATAATGTCATCTCATCTCCATAATTTATGACTAGAAAAGGTCTGCATTATGAGACTTTATAGATTCAGATAAAATCAATTATGTTTATCATTCAAGTACAATTACATGAGTAATAATACTGCAAAGAACATACAGGACTGCTGTTCTCCATCCTTGTGCATTTACAAAGAAGAACAAGGATTAAAAAAAGCTTCAAATGCTGTATCTATTCATTCACATTATGTAACCTGTTAAATCCATTAAAAACATGGAATCTTAGAAGACACTTTACCTGAAATGTACATAAAACCACCGTAAACCGTCCCAGCATGTCCATAATGAGGTTCATTCATTTTCGCAACATATGTCCATTCATTTGTCCTGGGATTGTAGCACTCCACTGTAGCTGTTCAAAGAGGGAAAAAAAACAGTTACTAAGAAGACAAGTGACAATAACTAGAACAGGCAGAACTGGGAATTACAGGCCTTCAAGGGTCCTGTGAGAAAATAAATATTCCATCCTTTTGGATAACTGTAGGCAGTGGTAGGCAGAGAATGAGAACACATATTAGAATGAAAACAAAATATATTACAGATACAGTACCTGATTAATCAATTTCATAATTAAAACTTTAACACTACAAAGTTTCATGAACCGTCTTCTCTTTGTTGAAAAAATTAGATGAAGCCGTTAACGATAAAAGAATGAAGTGGTACTACCAGCACATGTCTCAGAATTGTAAAAAAAATCCTGATTAATTGATTTTTTACGTTGAACAGTTCAAAATTAAAATTAAAGACTTCCCTTGAGTTAATTCTGTATATTGGTCCAATTAGAAACTAGGAATGGAAATTGTTTTGTCCAATTTTATAATTAACCATTTTCCACACCTCTGATGCATGTGATTGGGAAATGGGGGTTTAAATAGTTCTCCATGTAATTAATTATTAATTTTAATGTTTGAAAACATATACCAAAAGGTAGAACAAGCAACACCCTCCATCTGTGGTATCCTGTCTGAGTTGATAGACTTTTATCTTTAAAGTGTACGGACAATTTGCGCTAGTGCATCAGGTTGATAGATTTATCTTGGCAGCCATTGGCAAACAATATTTTTTTCTTTGGAAGAAGTCCTTAACCCAGGCTTGTTTTCTCTCAGGGACCTGCTGTGCCATCGTGAAACAAACATGGTAAAATATATTCAGATGTATGTTGTGTCTGGAAGCAGAAGTATTATATAAACGGGTAAGATCCACCGGACTTATACCTTAAAGGCACAGACCTCATCATTTATGCAGAATTCCTGAAGAATTCCTTTCAATTATGCACAAAGAAATAAAGTAATCATCCATGATATGACAGACAGACTGAAGCTCCTAATATGAACTACTGTCCTAATTCTTTACATTTAATTTTGCAAATACCTCTTTGCAAGGTTGTATCATCAAATACACATTCTGGAAGAAAACTCCATTTGTGGTCTCAAAAGGTCAGCCTCTATAACACATTCTCAAAGTATAGATTAAAACATTATTTTAGTTTCTTTCCTGATTTATGATAAGAGGTTTTTTATAACAGTATTATTTTTCATTGAAGTATTAATATCACACACAATAAAAGACCTAATGCTCTCAAAGAGACACTGAAAAGTTCATTCATACATACATTTTTATACTGTACATCTTATTTCTAAAAGGATACTGCACACATTTTTGATACACTGCTTTCCAGATCATTTTCCCTAGATATACAAGTGGCAAATGGTGTGTAGTCCTAAATGTTCTCTTTGTATGTCACCTTGTTAGCTGGATGTCAACTGCTGCTACTGAAACAAAAAAAAATACAGCTGATCTCTCAAGCCCTGACTCAGCCCTCCCCACTCCTGTGTCTATGGCAACAAGCAACAGCATTCTTAGGATCACTGAATGCACAGTGCTCAATCTGCAATACTCAGCCGCAGAGGTGAACAACAACATGATTAATATTATCCAGTAGCAATCACAGAGGTTCAAACAACAATCGCCACATTGATCTGGCACCATGATCTGAGCAACAACACCCGGGATTTACAGAAAAGCAAACAATCCAAATAACACTGGCAGGGCCAGCCAGGCAGCTGTGCTGCTTTTGAGTTGTTTTTTTCACTCTGCAAAGGTCACAGACAGCACCAGCAGAAACCGTCTGCACAGAACTACTGACAGGAATTTTTTTTTATTTTATTATTAAGATTGTGCTTTCTGAGAGAGGTTCAGGATAAGAGTAACGGAGGTGTTTAACACAAAAAAAAACCTGAAGAACAGTTACAAGAATTTGAACAGACTTAATTCAATCAGGACTGTGCTAAGGAAACAAAGCAAAAATGTGATTCACCTAATGGGACAGAAAAGGAAACCTTCAAATAGCTATTTTCTTCCATAACTGGAATAAACCACAGGAGAAACAATATTATTGGAATAATACACAGGAGTATTAGTGCATGAAGTGTACCAATTTTACTCCTTCTTTTAAACTGAATCCACAGACTCACAAATCCACAAATTACAGCTGGTACTGGCAGTATAAAGGGAATCTGTGGGGGAAACAAAACATAAATTAAATACTGTTGAAGTCAAATGGAAATGTTTGCGACTCATTACAAGGACATAAGAAACTGAAATATTCCAATGCGAAACTAAGATACAGAGGCGTCTAAACATGGGGGTGGGGGCAGACCAAATGTGTCTCCTAAAAAATCTCCTCAAAGGGTAAATTCAACTAGCTTCCAGAAATGCTTCTTTACCGAGACAAAATATTTAATGCGCAATATAGAAAGTTAGATCACTTCTACTATTTACTGAAGCAACAGACCTTTAATCCACCATAACATCCACCATAACCATAGGGCTATTTTCAGAAAGTAGTCTATGTATAAGTTTTAATAAATACTGTATATCCAAGGTGACTTCTGAATTTATGAAGTGCCATTTTGCAGTCCTTAGAATGTGGTGCAACTATATTTTTCGGTTTTCTGGAGCCTAATTTAAAAACAGGTCATGCTGTGCTTTGTTGGAACCTAGGTTTCTATCAAGATTAAGTTTTATTTGCAGAGGAAGTAAGGAGAAAATACAGGTGAAAAATATGCTATGTCAAATCACTGGGACTTGAGTAAAAACTTTAGCCAGGAACCTGGTAAGATTGTGCTCTACCTAATGAGTCACAAAAGTGCTATTTCAAAGATGAGTGAAACGTCTGACAAATACAGGAGGGCAATTATGCCCTGGAGTCTGTAAACGCATTGATTCTCAAGTGCAATTTCCACTGTGGCGATAGTTTTATGCAAGATGTGAAAGTAAACGTGAAAGACTATGTAATCATTTTAAAGCCAAATGTCTGAAGGGCCTACATGATTTTCACCACAAGAATGCCTTTCACAAAGGGCACTATTTCATCATACAAATAAAGTGAAATGCATCTATTGACTTCTCAGTTTATCTCTTAAGAATACGTTTTGACTTTAAATTTCTAACACTAAAAACATCCCAAGGAAAGGGCATTTGTGAAAAACAAAAAATGGACATAAATATTATTTTCAAAACATTTCGTAAAAAACAGTCTTAAATTTCAAATGGACTATTACTTTTTGGGTGGGGCAAAAATAAAATCCATGCATCTTGTAACTGCTTCATCCAATTCTGGGTCATAGAGGAGCCAGAGAGACCAGTTCTGGAATTTAACCCAGTGCTACAATACAGCAAGGCAGCAATGCTACCCACTGCTCCATTGTGCCACCCACAAAATAATCTATACAAATGTTTATTTTCAGTTTAACTACCAAAGTTAATGTTCCTCTTAACAATAAAGCAAAATGCTAAAATATTTTCTTCTGGTTCACGAGTCATTGAAGTTTGTTTTTCATCTTCTCACAATGCTGTAAAAAAATCAATTACACCCCTTCAATGCTACAGAGGCAATTTATTACATACTGTATCCTAAATGCCAGTTGTTTCTTTAGATGAACATACTGATTAATAATTTTCCTTGCTATCTATGTAAAAAAATTTGATGTCTACTTTACATTTTCATCTCTTAAACAATTGAGAAGCATTAAAAATGCTACTATTACAAACATTTAAATGTGTAGATATTTCTCCTGTGGAAAAAAAATTGGAAAAACTAAATAAAGAAGTGTATTTTATATGAAAGCAATTTGAAGAGGTTTATGGAACATGGCAAAATGCCTTATTTAAAGTCTGTTTTTATCTGTTTTTTATTTTTCTACATCATAATTTTGACAAGAAACAACTTTCATTGACAGCTTTATAGAAAGGAAACCAGACAGATGTGTTGCAGAGCTTCTCAATCACCTAGAATTGAAATCCACCTTAATATCATGTTAGCTTTTCAACTCGTGCCAAATTAATACATGGCATTAACGCGAGGTCCCCATTTGAACATACAAATGAATACACTGCACTTCTCTGGACAGCCCTGCTATAAGCCTTTAACACATACAGCTTTGACAGCAAGAAGGCAAAGAAGTTAACATACATGTTTTCCAAAGGCCAGCCCTCCAATCACTTAATTACTATGCTTCAAATTTACTTTAATGCATCAAAATACATGCCAGTCAACACAGAATATTCAAATCTATAAATCTATTACTAAGAGTTGTATTATCCACCCTGTTTTTCATTGCCTTTGTATTATTGTGTAGATAATAAAAGTTAATGCGATAAAGTATCTACAGTATTTGAAGATGACAGATATTTCGAATTCACATTATCTTTACACAGTAGCACTGCTTGTATGAATCCACTGCACAGCATCAATGCCCCACTACCACGTTTCATGCAAACTGGACTTCTCCACACCTAAACCCAGTCCTGTAATGTACTGTACCAGTCTAAATACACATGCTTTGCATACACATGGATAATTGCGAGGTGACCAACTTTAAATATAAGCAGTGATGCCAAGTGGCTTTGAAAAGCATTCAACTCTTTAAAGAACTGTTTCAAGAAAATGTTTTCTGTACAGTTCATCTTAACTGCTGTCCTGTGTTTCCTTTGTGGTAAACATACTGTAGGTTCCGTGCATCGTATGCTTATGTGCAGCTTTGACAGCAAGAAGACAAAGAAATTAATTCACATGCTTTCCAAAGGCTAGCCGTCCAATAGCTTCATCACAATGAGTAAAGGGTATTTGCTTTAAAACAGTAGGCTGAGTGGTTCTTACACACTGTTGTTAAGTTGATCTCACTCCTTTTTTCCTTGTAAGTAATTAGGGCATTAAAAAGCATACATCTTCAACCCCAAGGAACTCATACTGTGAATGCTAAGCTTTACCTAAATTAAGAGGAATCCCATTGCTCCTCATTTTCATTTCTAACCCAGTAGGTGGTGACTTCTTAAAGGTTGTTCCAACAG